AATATATAAAAGGTAGGGAAATGCAAGTGGCCGTTTTAAACGGTAAAGGATTAGGAGTGCTAGAAATACAATTGCTAAAAAGGCGTTTTTATGATTATGATACTAAATATACAGAAGGTTATGCTAAACATTTATGTCCCGCTCCATTGCCTACCGCTATCTATGAAGAGTTATTAAAAGAGTCCGAAAAAATATATCATACTATGAATTGTAAAGGGGTAGCACGAGTAGAGTTTATTTTTGATCAAAAGCGCGATCAGTTCTTTGTATTAGAAATTAATACGCATCCTGGGATGACGCCATTATCAATTGTCCCAGAAATAGCTGCACTGCAAGGAATAAATTTTGCTTCATTAGTAAAAGAAATAATAAAGACAGCAAGTTTTGAGACATGAAGCAGAAGAAAAATTTTTCTAAGAAAAAGAAAATTAATATTCCTTTGCGCCGTAAGTTTGCTCTAATATATATTAGATTAGTCTTAGGCTGTAAAATAATTTTGCTAATTTTTTTCTTACTATTTTTCTTGACGTCCTCCTTTAGTACTATAAAACAAGAAATCGTTCAAAATATTTACGAATATACTTCAGATATAGGCTTTAGGCTTGAAAATGTTTTAATAGAAGGACAATATAATATTAATGAAGAAGATATATTAATTACCTTAAATGCTGATAAAGGCACCCCTATTTTTTCTTTAGATTTAAAATTAATTAAGAATAGCTTAAAAAGTAACCCCTGGATAAAAAATGTTGCAATCATTGAAAGGAGGTTGCCCTGTACGCTTTATATAAGACTAATTGAACGAGTTCCTATCGCTATTTGGCAGTTTAATAGTCAAATTTCTCTTATTGATGAAGAAGGATATAAAATCACTAATAATATAGATAATTTTTCTAATCTACTGCACGTTGTAGGTTCAGATGCTAATATTAATACTAGCAAATTAATTGAAGATTTGGCGCCATACCCGGCATTAAAGGCAAAAATTATCTCTGCAGTACGATATGGGTCAAGGCGTTGGAATCTCAACTTAGAACAAAATATCACAGTAAAAATGCCAGATGTCGACTTTGAGCAAGCCTTAAAATATCTTGTAAAATTAGATGAGGAAAATATGTTACTTAATCAAAATTATAAAATAATAGATTTAAGAGACTCAAGTAAGGCTTACATAGAAAAATATTAAATATATGAAATCTAAATTATCTAATTTTATTGCTCTTGACCTTGGTAGTAGCAAAATCGCCACTATTGCCGCATATATTGATAAAAGAGAAGCAGTAAAAGTAGTAAGTCAAAATTTATACCACTCCAAAGGAATTAGAGCTGGAGTTATATTAGATATAAAAGGTGCAGAAAATAGCATCATTGGGGCTATTTATGAATTAGAAAAAGATTGTGGTAAGAATATTAAAGAAATCACCGTATCCTTAACAGGGTATGGAACTAAATCGTATTATATAAGTAGTAAAATAAAGCTCTCGCATAACCAACCAATTTTAGAGCAAGATATAAAAAAGTTGGTTAAAAAAGCACTGTTTGAGTTAAAGCTTAAAGACCAGGAAGTAATAGATTATTTTCCCTTAGGGTTTGAGCTGGATAATAATGCTATTGAAGAACCAATTGGCATGTATGGTAAAGAATTAGGATGTGAATTACATATTATTACTGCAAGCTCTAATATGCTTATAAATCTTACTAATTGTTTTGCCAAATGTCACGTTGAAATCAATAATATAGTGTTAGCAGTTTATGCCTCAGGCTTAGCATGCCTTACTAAAGATGAAAAAGAGCTGGGGTCTATTGTAATCGATATGGGGGCAAGAACTACTTCGCTAGGCATCTTTATGTCTGGTAAATTAATATATACCGGTTATATAAATATTGGCAGTTTTCATATTACTTCTGATATAGCCAAAGTGTTTTCCCTAAACCTTAACGTAGCAGAAAAACTCAAAGTTTTATATGGTAATGCCATACCATCTGCTTTTGATAAAGATAATATTATTCGCTTAGAAGATAATGGGATAGATTTAACAGATAATGATGGGTCAACAATTACTTCAAAACACCTTACCGAAGTAATAAACCCAAGGGTAGAAGAAATATTACATATGATTCAAGCGGAATATGAAAAGATTATTGCCAATAACATGTTAGCTTACCGTATCGTTATAACCGGAGGAGGGGCAATGTTACGCGGAGTCAAGGAGTTGGCAAGTAAAATTTTTGAAAGGCAAGTAAGAATCGGTAAGCCAGAAATTCTAGAGGGCTTTGCTGAAGATTATAACCCTTATACCTATTCGGCTGCAATAGGTATGGTCAAAAATCAATTCTTAAAAACGCAAAAAAACTCTTTTAAGATAGGTGATAACACTAATTTAAGTTGGTATAAAAAACTGTTAATTTGGCTTAAAGAAAATGTCTAAGTAGTAGGCGCTGTATTACTAAAAATATATTTTAAGTTTTAAGCTTGGGTGGTGGGCCAGATATTTGTTAGCGATAATAGCATTATATTTTATTCCATATTCTATAGCATTGTTATATTTAACAGTTAAACCGACTCCGCAGTTAAAAAATATTTTTGCTTCCTTAAATGCTTTAGCAGGCAAAGGTTCATTTATACCTTGTAGTCTTGCATCAATAAGCCGCGATTTACCTTTTAAGTCATAGTTAATAAGGCCGTATAATTCAGGTACTAGAATCATCGGCTTCCCTTGCTCTTCTACCTTAATATTCATTGAAGCACGCATACCAACTAGCGCTTCTATTTTATCATATACTCGTTTCTTGACGGTTAAGTTTTGATATGAAGTTCCTGTTTCATAATAGCCCCCTTCTTTAAATTTCGTATATCGCAAACCTATTAGTGGAGTAATATCTGTATTATCAATTGGATAATTATAACCACTTACTAATTGTCCTCCATAACTAATAGTATTATAACGCCCTAACGCTTGTTCTGTACCCACCAATACCCTACGTCCTTCATTATTTTTTACCTTACTTGCTGCATACGATATTATTCCTTCTAAGTACCACCTATCTGTTAAATGTTGCAAACCATATAGTAAAAATATATTAACTTTAGCCTTAGTTTTATCTCCATTCTTAGTACCTTTGTGGCTTATTATTGCCTGACTACGGCTATAAGCACCACCAATGAATCCATTATCACTAATTTGATAATCAATACCAATTATCCCACCACTAGCTTTAAGCTTATAACCACTAATTTCATTTTTCATCTTTTGACTCGCTTGACTATACAAAGGACTAACCCATACACCGCTTCTTTGTCTAACTTCATCACCAGCAGATTGGATGGTAGGAGATTGGTTGTTTAATAACTTACCAAGTTCTGATAGTCTATTATGTATTTCTTGAGTAACAGCGAAAAGTAGGGGGGG